CAGTTTTCCGGAGAGAAATTCGGACAATCAAACTCTGCGCTGATGCCCGATGAATATGTGGAAGGTCAAATTTCTAAATTGTTATTTACAGGGGTGTCTGCCTGGAGTAATAGATTGTCAGTGACCTTCTGAAGTCCTGCTCCGTTATTTGGTTTTTTGCTTGTGTGTTTTACCTTGTTTGGTCCTGTACCAATCAGGTACACAGGTGAGTCTGGTTAAGACCTGATGGGACATTTGGAGGATTGGCAATTCTGTTAGACCACTGTTCATCTTATTTACTTTTTATTATTTATTTTCTTTTTTATTTTACTATACTATATTTTCATTTTCTTTGCTTTTTTTTTTCCACCAAGGTGTGTTGGTATATTTTATTTTTCTTGAGACAGAGTCTTGCTTTGTTGGCCAGCTAGGTGAGTGCCGGTGACGTCACGCCTCGCTCACTGGCAAACCTCCAAACGTCCTGGGGCTCAAGCAATCCTCCTGCCTCAGTTCTCTCCCGAGTAGTGGGATAACCAGGCATGCGCCACGTGCCCGTGTGTCATTTTTCTTCTTATAATGGATTATATATAGTTTTGGCCCAATTAATTTCTTTCTACTATTAGTATAGACAGGTCTCGGCTTCTTGTCAGCGTGCGGTTTCGAACTCCCTGACCTTAATGTGATTCTCCCGCCGTCGGCTCTCCAGTCATGCTGCTAGGATGACAAGGCGTGAGCCACCGGCCAGCCAGACACTTGTCATCATTTTAAAAAGAAATCTTTTTTTTTTTTGGATAGGACCTGTTTGCTTTATTCCCAGAGGAGAAAATGGAAGAAACAATTGCAAAACTGTACATGGGGTGACATATTTAAAAAGTCTGAAAGTCAGCCAGAAACAATAAAAGCAAAAAGGCTGAGGTACAGGGAATTAACGTCTAGGGAAAGAAAGGACAAAAGAACATATGTGGATTTAGATAGCACAGGGCTGTCTGAATGATGCATTAAAGGCTGTGGGTCACCACAGGACCTGATTTTATGAGACTTCAGGGGCTCAGCTCACAGACGGAGTTTAAGGACGGACAGATAACCTGGGTTGTTATTTAGCTATTTCCTGTTAGGCTGTCAGTACCGTGGCATTCCCACATGCACTTGAACAAAAGATGAATCAAGGTTAATGAAAACCCAATACAACAAAAATCCCTGATATCAGCCCAATCATATTTACTTATAACGTCTATTCAACACCACAGTTTTGAAGTTGGGCAAACATTCCTCAATCTTTCCCATCTCTGGCAAAGCTGGTCAAACTGCATTCTCAGTTTACGACGGGTGCAGAAAGCTGTCATAGAAGCTGAAGTGTCGTTCTAGTGCCTATGTTGTTAATGTTTGATGTGTCTTTGTGTGTATGTTCTTGTTGTCTGTTTTTGACTTTAGATTGCCTTCTAAAAACAAAAACTGAGTTAACTCCAAGAGATATGTTCCTTATAGGTGGTTCGATTTAAGCCGCACTGCCGCTCGTTTTGTTGCTCATTATATGGGTGCTTGGTTTTACGTCTGGCGGGGCGGGCGCGGTCTCGAAGGTAACAGACATTCAGGCCGTTGTGGCCCCTTCAAGTGGCAAACGGCACCTGGACAGTGGGCAGCACAGGGTGTTAGGGTAGCCAGTGTTGGACTTGGACGACCTCCCGCCAGGTGCAAAGACTGGGGTGCAGAAAGTGACTTTGGCCCACCGAGGGCAGCTGGACGGTGCAAGGCGTTCCAGGCTCTGGCCATTGTTGGGTTGTGCATTTTGGGAATTTAACTGATTGCTGGAACGCACAGCCACCAAACTGCCCATCCGGGGAGACGGTGCCGGCAGGGGAGGAGAAAGAGGTGGGCCAGCGGACAGGAGAAGGCCGAGTCAGCTTGGCTTCTTGACGAAGACCCTCCTCACCTTCAGCAAGAGCCGCTGGACGGCGCTCCTCCCCCGCGACAGTGCACAGTTGCCACAAGGTGCCACAGGTGCAATTGCAGTCGGTGTCCTCGGGCCACTGGAGGCCCACGATCCCAAGGACAGACTCGCAGCGCTCTTTCGAGTGCTCACACAGCGCCCTGGGAGGGCGAGAAAGACAGACGGTCAGAAGCAGAAACAGCCCCGCCTGGGGTGAGCGTTGGCAACGCGTGTGGGGCTTCATGCTGCCTGCACGTGGGGCTGTGTGTGCACGGCCCGTGTGTTCCCAGTGTGCGGATACAAATAACACAGAGAAGTACGTGTGTATGATAAGTACCCACGAGTAACGTCTCCGCAGACAGCATACATTCCAGCAACGTGCTCACACCAAAACAAACCTTTATTGCAGAAGTAGAAATCGAGACATTTCCAGGACACAGATGCCCTTTCTCCACTCTGCCTTTCTACTGTGTTTCCCCCAAAATAAGACAGGGTCTTATATTTATTTTTCCTCAAGAAGACACCCTAGGGCTTATTTTCAGGGGATGTGTTATTTGTTTTAAGTATGGTACAACCATCTACATTGATTCAAATAGAGTGAAGTCGT